AGGCTTATGTATGTTCCGGGTCCTCAGGTGGTCACGAACCTGATCTTCTCTTGCAGTGGGAGGGACTTTGCTCCCCCAGTCCCTGCCTTGAGGTCCATCCACTTGAGAGGTGTGGGAAGAGAGGTTGGCAGTGAAGACTGAGGCAAAGAAGTTGTTGAGTACCCTCAGCCTTCTCCTCGTTTGTTGTTACTAGTTTGCACGTCACTCCTATTTGCAAGAAGGAGGACCCAGAGAACTACAGGTTGGTCAGGTTCACCTTGATCCCTGGGAAGGTGATGGAGCAGCTAATCCTGGAAACCATTTCCAGGCCCATGAAAGACAAGGAGGTCATCGGGAGTAGTCAGCATGGCTTCACTATGGGGAAGTCATGCTTGACCAACTTGATAACCTCCTGCGATAAAGTGACTGGCTTGGTAGATGAGGGGAGAGTAGTGGATATAGTCTAACTGGACTTCAGGAAGGCCTTTGACACTCTCCCATAAGATCCTTATGGACAAGCTGTTGATGTATGGGCTGGATCAGCAGATAGTGAGGTAGATTGAAAACTGGCGAAATGGCTGGGCCCAGAGGGTGGTGATCGGTGGCACGAAGTCTAGCTGGAGGCCAGTAACTAGCCAGCGTATCTCAGGGGTCAATACTGGGTGTGATCCTGTTCAACATCTTCATTAATGATCTGGATGATGGGGCAGAGTGTACCCTCAGCAAGTTTGCAGACAACACCAAATTAGGAGTGGCTGATAGGCCAGAGGGTGGTGCTGCCATCCAGAGGGACCTCGACAGGCTGGAGAAATGGGCTGACAGGAACCTCATGGAGTTCAACAAGGGGAAGTGCCAAGTCCTGAACCTGGGGAGAAACAAGCCCAGGCACCAATATATGCTGGGGAGATGACCAGTTGGAAAGCAGCTTTGCAAAAAAGGTCCCGAGGGTCCTGGTGGACACCAGTCGAATATGAGCCAGCAATGTGCCCATGAAGCAAAGGCGGCTAATGGTATCCTTAGCTGCATTAGGCAAAGTATTGCCAGCAGGTTGAAGGAGGTGTTCCTATCCCTTTATTCAGTGCTGGTGGGCCACACCTGGAGTGCTGTGTCCAGTTCTGGGCTCCCCAGTACAAGAGACTGATGGCACTACAGGAGAGAGTTCAACAAAGGGCCACGAAGATGATGAAGGGACTGGAGCATCTCTCCTATGAAGAAAAGCTGAGAAAGCTGGGACAGAGAAGAGAAGGCTCAGGGGGGGATCTCATTAATGTATATAAATACCTGAAGGGAGGGTGCAAATCTGACAGAGCCAGGCTCTTTCCATTGGTGTCCAGTGACAGGATGAGAGGCAGTGGGCACAAACTGAAACATGGGAGGTTCCATCTGAACATCAGGAAAGACTTTTTTTTGACCGTGAGGGTGACCGAGGACTGGAATAGGTTGCCCAGAGAGCTTGTGGAGTCTCCCTCCTTGGAGATATTCAAAAGCCATCTGGACATGGTCCTGGGCAACTAGCTCTAGGTGACCTTGTTTGAGCATGGGGGTTGGACCAGATGACTTGCAGAGGTCCCATCCAACCTCAACCATTCTTTGATTCTGTGAATTGGATTTATAGCATTCGTAGTAATAACTGAATAGTAGGCTATTCAAGTCTCAAGGCTGATTAAGCACAATGTTAAATATCTGTTATATTCTCAGAGATGAGAAGGATATAGCAAAGATGACAGCAAGCAGTGTTAGTGGAGCATTCTCTGGGGATCACTAGAAAAACTAGGAATGCTAAGAAAATTTTCATGAGATGAGATACTATAGGTTAGATGCAGAGTTTTTTGGTTACTTTTTTGAATCTCGTTGGTATACTTGTGCGTGTGTTTAATATAGCTATATCATAATTCTTCAAATAAGAGGAGTGACATAAGAGTTGTAGATATAATTAGTCAAGTTACATGCTCATACAAGAGCATCACAAATTGCTTTCTGCTGTATATTTTTTACTGGTTAATTTATGACAGTGCATGCTTAATCAAGCCTTATGGTGTGGTTTCTTTATCAGCCACTGGTGCTGCAACCACCATCTATGCAGTTGAGGCAGATGGTGACCCGAATACTGGGTTTGAAAAGTCAAAGGAGCTAGGAGAAGTACAGTATCTTATTAAATGGAAAGGCTGGTCACACATCCATAATACTTGGGAAACTGAGGAAACACTGAAGCAACAAAATGTTAAAGGAATGAAGAAACTGGACAACTATAAGAAAAAGGATCAGGAAACAAAACGCTGGTGAGTATTTTTATAACTACTTCCACGTTGCATATTTTTTGTAACAATATAGATGTTTTATTGTGTTTCTGTGAGTTCTGTTGCCTCTTTGTGAAGGCATAGTTTCAAGTGCCTATACAACAGGAAGACAAAAGCTTTAAAGTTGAAGCTTCCCTAACACCTTATGATCCTGTAAGATTCTGAGCATACCAACTTTACTTGAGCAAGTGAGAATACTCACACATCTTGTAAAATCAGGCCTTTAAGGAAGCAGCTTCTACACCTAGATTTTAATGTGTCTGTTATAAATGAAGTTTTAACAAGATGGGTGGTGGGGTTTCTGTTTTTGTTTTAAATCTTACCTTTTACTAATTTTGTCATTGATTGTATTTTGATCAGTTCTTCAGGTATTGCTGCAGAGATTAAAAAAAATCAGAAATGGCTAAAGCACTCAAAACATTATAACAATTAGTTTTCTTGGCTCAAACTTCTGTTAAAGCCTCAGAATCAAGAAGTGAAAAAAATCCTTACATTTTAGTGCTATGTTTTGGTATTCCATTTTATTAGTATGTTTAATATAATCTGTGAATAGTGGTGGGATTTTTAGTGACTCCTACTCATAAGATAGATTCTTATAGTGAGCCATCTGTTTCTGTTCCATGAAAATACCATGTGAAGTACACTATTCAGTGTTGAGAACAGATATTGTAAATGATCTGTGTGACTAGTACAAGGTGTAGCTGATAGTAATGTCTCTTGATAAGCTTTCTCGGTTATCAGTGATGAGGTACCTAGGCCAGATGCAACACTTTTATAGCAGGAATTTGAGTTATAGCTTCTTCAAAGCAGCTCTCTAAGCAGCATTCCTGTGGTGCTTACGTCCAGAGCTTTAAAATTGCCATATTTTCTTAGCTTTAGAACTACACAATGTAATAAGTGCTGCAAATAAATTCCCGTTTCAGGCTGAAAAATGCTTCTCCGGAAGACGTGGAATATTATAACTGCCAGCAGGAACTTACAGATGATCTACATAAACAGTATCAAATAGTGGAAAGGATAATTGGTACGTGACAAACTTCCAGATGTAATATTCTCAACGCTGTTTTCCAAGTTTATTGCTTGCATGTTGAATTTATAGTTAAGAAATTCAGGTTATTAATATCCCGAACAACTTAAGGCAAAACAAAATCTCTGATGAAGAGAAAAGTTGTCATACTGTCTTTGTTGTGAAACTAGTTCATGTTGTCTTATCATCTAAAATGAGTGCTTTTTTAAAATACAGAAGGAAAATATTGATCTGGTATCTCTGATGCATTTCTGCAGCTCATTCAAATCAGAAATCAGCAGCTGGTTATCCAGATTACTATTGCAAATGGCAGGGGCTGCCTTACTCGGAATGTAGCTGGGAAGATGGTGCTCTCATTGCCAAAAAATTTCAGGCATGTATTGATGAGTATTTTAGCAGAAATCAATCCAAGACCACTCCATTTAAGGACTGCAAGGTGAGTATGTAATTTCAATGGATTTATACAGTTGCAATAATAAAAAAAAAGTTGATGTATTTTATGCATCCAGAAATAAGATGAATATTATAAAATATTTTTGAATGTTGTCCAGAATGGTAATAATAATAGCTATATTTATATATGTAGCAAGTATCACTATTAAGAATAGCCTTTTGTAGATATTTTGTTCCCTACTTAGTTTATTGCCATTCAAAGATGGAATTGTTTAGTATTTTAATTTGTTTTAAAAGTAACCTTTGTGAATGAGTTCATGTCACTTCTGTTGTGGAATTTAGATCAGCAGTCAAACTAATTTTAGCTTGCAAATGGGTTGATATTGTTATATGGCTTAGTTGTCTGTGATGAATAAATACTAGACTTGGTGACCAAACAGATTCCTACTGCTACTTTGTTTCTATAAGAAGATGTTTTGGCAATTTCACTTAGTAGTAGAACTGACACTCAATTTCCTTTTGACAGATTCTGAAACAGAGGCCGAGGTTTGTTGCACTAAAGAAGCAACCATCTTATATTGGAGGACATGAGAGTTTAGAATTAAGAGATTATCAGTTAAATGGACTGAACTGGCTTGCTCACTCGTGGTGCAAGTAAGTATAGTCTTAAATTAGTCTTGCTGTTTTTAATTTGAAAGCATTTATAAATTTATGTATGTATGTATTTATTTATTTATTTATTTATTTTTTTAGAGGGAATAGTTGTATTCTTGCAGATGAAATGGGTCTGGGTAAAACAATACAAACAATTTCTTTCCTGAACTACCTGTTTCACGAACATCAACTGTATGGGCCTTTCTTGCTAGTCGTTCCACTTTCTACCTTGACATCTTGGCAAAGAGAGATTCAAACTTGGGCTCCTCAGATGAATGCTGTGGTTTACTTAGGAGATATAACTAGCAGAAATATGGTGAGTATTTCTTTATATCATTGAAAAAGATTACTGGTAAACAAGACTCACTTCATGTTCCTGTCTTATGCTAATCTCCAATATTTTGATTAGGAATGAGCAAATACTTATTTGAAACATTTTATGTGTTTAAAATGCAAGTTAAAAGCATAAATTTTGATCTGATATAAATGTGTGTGAAAGATTTACTTCCTGCTTCATAATAAATAATCTTAATTTGTTTTCTGAAAGGAGGAATGTAAGTAACCTTATCCATTAAAGTTTAAAAAAAAAAAAAAAACAACCCAAAACCAAAAAAACCCACACAAAAACCATACACACGCACAAAAAAACTCCACAAAAAAAACCAACCAAACAAAAACCAACACCCCCACTCACCACTCACAACTTAAAAAAAAAAAAAAAAAAGTTTCACATGTTATGTTCTTTCACATGTTATGTTCTTTTTTCGTTATCAGATTCTTGTATGTCACTTAACATCTCTATTGCTGTAGTACCTGAAGTCATCCCAATGAATAAGACCATTTTTCTCTAGCTTATAGTTCACTTGATTCTTCTTATAGATAAGAACTCATGAATGGATGCATCCACAGACCAAGCGATTAAAATTTAATATACTTCTATCAACTTATGAAATTTTGCTGAAGGATAAGGTAATCACGCTTACTTCTTCAGGGAGATAAAATCATTTGTAGAATGTAAAACTCCTTTAGAGTTGGCACATATTTGGGTTCTGGGCCATTAAATGCATGGGGAGTATGACAGCTTTACTCTTGGAAGTATGACAGTGAAGTTTTCTTTAAGCACTTTTAGATTTTATGAATGTGTGGTGAGGCTTTCTGTCCCCTCTTCCCCCCCAATATTGAGTGGGTAAAACTTCTTTTTCTTCAGTTTGCTTGAGCTTCATGTTACTGTAGTAATTTCTTTGCATCTCAACTTTCATGTAGACCATCATCCAGGAACTGAAAAAACAAACCTAGCCCCAAATGCCTGTGATTCACAACTCTGAAATCCCATGTTTTATCTTTGTATTTGTGTGTGCAGTATTATGTATATGTATATTACTACTCTCTTCATGATGGTAGCACATAGAGTGATTGTTAATCCTAACAGTGTATGAAAATTTTAATTAAAGTTCTGCATGTTGGCTTTATTTCATTTGTTTGTACATGCTGGAAAGAAGAGAGTCAATAGTGGACAAAAATTTTTTTTTTTTTTTTTTTTTTTTTTTTTTTCTGGCTCTAACATGCTGAAAATGTTTGTTCCCTTTGGGAGTGTTTCTGCCTGCCCAGAAGCTCTCCTAGTAAGGAATCTGCTGTAACCTTTCGTACCATGCTTTGGGCCGCACCAGAAGCGGAAAGCGTAAGAGCCAGGCTTCTGCAGTCTGGGTATCCAGTGTGGAATTACTGATCAGGATTGTAAAACTCCACATGGATTAGCAAAGTGCCTAGCCTAAAACGATAAGAGCTTGTCGTCTCAGTAACGGACATTCCTCTGCCCCATGGTACCTGATCCGGAGCTAAGTGAAGGAGTTTTTATTCTAAAACTTGCCAGGAATGTTGCCTGTTTACCTTCGTTTGAACTTCTTCGGGGACAAAGTTTGATGTTGGTGGCGCAGTCTCCAACCTACCCGTGAGGAAGCAAATGTTTTTCTGCTCGACTGCACTTCTGACTGCACGCTGGTTCCACCGGCTCTTGCTGCTTTGGGATTTCTGCTTGTGGAGCGTAGCAGAAGGGCAAAGAATAAATCACTTCTTAAAAAAAAAAGTCCCCAAATATTTTATATAAAATAGATGCATGTATTTTTAATGCTGCTCTTTATAAATTATATTGGTAGCAGTTGTCACTTTTTCTGTTTTAGCAGTCCACAAAAAAGATGGATTGATGTATGGCTCAGAACCCTGAAAAGATGCTTCATCTTAATCTAAAAGGAAAATCACATGGATTTACTCTAGGGAAATAGAATGGGGCTGAGGATGTCTTCTTTTCTGTGTTAGTACCATGAATGAAAACAAGATTGTATCGCAATTCCCAATATCCAGTAGTTCAGTCAGGCAGCCAATTTGTGCTTGCAGTTTGCATAGAATAGGTTTACTGTATTGACATTATTCTATACTGACCTCTCTTTATGTCTGGAATAAATAAGTGCACGTGTTCCTTTTGGATATTTTGTAAATACAAAGCACTGTAGCTCCAATTAGTTTCAGAGCTATGCATTGCATTGATTTCTTCAGAACCTTACAAGCAAAGCCACTAAGGTTGTTGTGTGGCACCTGTTCTTCATTTGATCACAAAGTCCATTCTCTTAGTCTGTTAGCACATACCAGAGGATAATTACATTTCAGCTAGTCCATACAAGCTGCAAAAAGTACGTGAAGTGGTCTGTTCTCTTGCACTTCTTCCAGCTATACAACTATTTTTTTATGCTGCTCTTGAGAAATATAATGGAATTTCTGCAGCCTTTTACCTGGGTTTCCATGCAGAAAAGTAAAATGTTGGGTTTTCACTGGAGAAATTAAAATTCAGTAGTTTGTTTTGAATTTTCATTCTGCAAAAGTGTTTGGAAATTTCCATTCTCCTATTTGCAGACAAAATATTTGGAATTTCTTGAGAGATGCAAATTCAGAAACTTATTAAATAAACCAGAGGGAAGTAGGGAAGAAGTCCGTATGTCTTTGTGCACATGTGGTATATTTATGGTCTTTGTGTGCTTGTGTTCATGGTACGTCACTATTTTACCTTTATTCTTTCTTATGTTGAAGGTTTTCTTCCTGGGAAGATTTTGAAGAGGAGCATGGCAAAGGGAGAGAGTTTGGTTATGCAAGTCTTCACAAAGAACTTGAACCGTTTCTACTCAGAAGAGTTAAAAAAGATGTAGAAAAGTCTTTACCTGCTAAGGTTGAACAAATTTTGAGGATGGAAATGAGTGCATTGCAGAAGCAATATTACAAGTAAGTAATGACACTTTTTAATTCCTGCTATTTTAATGATATGTCTATATGAAAATTACTGAAGTGTAATAGTTCTCATAATGCAATTTGAACTGATATTTTGAGAGCTTACATCCTTCATATTTCCACAAATGGTTAGAAATTATTTCCATTGCACATTCTATATCATAGGTGGATTTTAACCAGGAATTATAAAGCCCTGAGTAAAGGTTCAAAAGGCAGTACCTCAGGCTTTTTGAACATCATGATGGAACTCAAGAAGTGTTGTAACCATTGCTACCTCATTAAACCACCGGATGATAATGAATTCTATAATAAACAGGAGGCCTTACAGGTAATACCTTTTTTCTTTGTGTTTTGTTTTGTTTTTTTTCTATTCTTTTTTCTTTTTAAAGTGTTTTTACATCTCTAATATGCACGCAGTAATTTTATAGTGTTCTGGCAATTTATTAGTTCTTATTAAAGTATATTAATAAAGAACAAGTTCTCTATTAAATGTGCATCTTGGGTTTTACAGGTAAGTGACTTGATTATTTTTTGTTTGTTTGTTTCTTAACTAGAACTGAATAATAGAGAGATCAATGCTAAATAAAATATCCCTGGCTTAAATTATGATCAAAATAAAAAGGAAATAGTTTGAAATAGTCTATGTATTTTCAGACTAAATAAACTTAAGACCTATTTTAAACCCAAATTAAAATAAAGCAGTTAAATAAACAGGTAAATTGAATATAAATGCAAATGCATATGAGTGGCAGTGGTACACCAACAATCCATGTGATAGCAGAAAGTAATATGCAGAATCTCTTTAAGCTTTTTTGTAATCAAACACTGTTCTCTGCATGCCTTCAAACAACCAAAGTGAAAGGAAATAAAAGTAATAAACATCCAAAGCTTAGTCTGGTTTTGTTGTTGTTATAAATGAAAGCAATTATAGCATCACTGCTAAAGATGGTCTGTGATTGTGTTGTGGGTTTATAGTTTGGATTTTTGTAAAGGTTAATTAATTTTTGTACTAAAACTGTTGAGAACCACAGCAACAAATAAAAGAACTGTTGTAATTGATGCAGTTTATAACAACATAAATATTTTTAAAGATCGGGGTTGTTTTGTTTGGTTTTTTTTCTGTAAGCTTTGAAGTTCACAATTTAAATACTTTCCCCAAAACTACTAAATTGAAATCACAAGCTGTCACTGCACAAGCTATTTTATATTATAAAGTGCTTATCAAGGTTAAAGGATGTTTCATCTGCAACTTGGCACACTAACTACTTAAATTTATAATTAAACTCATCAGAACTGTTCAGCCGTTATTGCTAATAATTGCATATTTTTAACAATTATTTCCTTGGCTCATCTGAATAAGCTTTCTTAGCTCTAATTATGAATGATATATCCTTCTCATTTCTGGCATAAAGAATAAAAGCACCTAACTCCAAACCTTTTTATTCCTCAAAATTTTATCCTGAGCCTCTTCAGCTAAAGAGGCCTAATGTTTTCAACATTAAATTCAGCATGCACCTTAGTTTCTGTTCTAGTTGTTCCCACTGGAGCTGAGAAGGCTTAACATTGTAACCTAGCTAAAGCCTGTTGACCTCTACAAACAAGATTCCTCTCACTTTTATCTTGCCTGAGAAACTTGACTGATTAGGCATTGTTTAAAAGCACTTAGAGGATCAAGTAGCGTTGCTTATTTCTGTTCAAAAGACAGAAAGTGAGGAGCAAGTAGTACTAAGGTAGTCTCGTTGTTGTTTATTTGGTAGAAAAGAACTTGAGTCTACACTGTAACTGCTCTAACTCATAGCACAGTATATTTACTTAATATTTTAATGAAATGTTAAGATGCTGTTTTATGAGCCAGAGCTGAGAAATGCATTTATTTGAAAAACATGCTAGTCGGTATTCCTGTTGATTTTCAGTTAGAGTACTTAATGCTTTTATAATGAGTTTTTTACAAGATCAGGACTGACTAAACACTTATTAAACTTCCATGTTCAGTTAATGAATGTCTAACCATCTGCAGTGTATATTAGTGTTGAGGTGAACTCATTTTGCAATAAACGTTTTCTTGTCTTGTAGCATTTAATACGTAGCAGTGGGAAACTAATCCTTCTTGACAAGCTACTGATTCGTCTACGAGAACGTGGCAACAGAGTACTGATTTTCTCTCAGATGGTGAGGATGCTAGACATCCTAGCAGAGTATTTGAAGTATCGTCAGTTTCCCTTTCAGGTAAGAATTTTGCTGGTAGTAGCCAAGAAGCCTTGATCTTTACCGCTTTATCTCAAGAAAAGTGTCCTTTTTGTAGAAAGATTTATGAAAATTTAATTTTATGTACAGGAAAAGACTGGCAATTACTATATGCTGAATAGTATTTTGAAATGAAACTGATGAATTAGAAAGATGAAGAGAGTTTTGGCAATTGAGAATTCAAGTTGCTCCAATTAGAATTTAGTAGGAGTTCCTTTTTAACTGTATTATTCAATTTCTTTAGAGACTTGATGGATCAATAAAAGGGGAATTGAGGAAACAAGCCCTGGATCATTTTAATGCAGAAGGATCAGAGGTACAGTATTAGTGGGTGGTTGTTGTTTGTTTTTTTTTTTTAATCTGCTCAGCTTCTCCGAAATAGGAAACAAAGAATTTTTGAAAAGGGGGTTTAACAAATAGCAGAAAGTAATATGCAGAATCTCTTTAAGCTTTTTTGTAATCAAACACTGTTCTCTGCATGCCTTCAAACAACCAAAGTGAAAGGAAATAAAAGTAATAAACATCCAAAGCTTAGTCTGGTTTTGTTGTTGTTATAAATGAAAGCAATTATAGCATCACTGCTAAAGATGGTCTGTGATTGTGTTGTGGGTTTATAGTTTGGATTTTTGTAAAGGTTAACTAATCTTTGTACTAAAACTGTTGAGAACCACAGCAACAAATAAAAGAACTGTTGTAATTGATGCAGTTTATAACAACATAAATATTTTTAAAGATCGGGGTTGTTTTGTTTGGTTTTTTTTCTGTAAGCTTTGAAGTTCACAATTTAAATACTTTCCCCAAAACTACTAAATTGAAATCACAAGCTGTCACTGCACAAGCTATTTTATATTATAAAGTGCTTATCAAAGCTAAAGGATGTTTCATCTGCAACTTGGCACACTAACTACTTAAATTTATAATTAAACTCATCAGAACTGTTCAGCCGTTATTGCTAATAATTGCATATTTTTAACAATTATTTCCTTGGCTCATCTGAATAAGCTTTCTTAGCTCTAATTATGAATGATATATCCTTCTCATTTCTGGCATAAAGAATAAAAGCACCTAACTCCAAACCTTTTTATTCCTCAAAATTTTATCCTGAGCCTCTTCAGCTAAAGAGGCCTAATGTTTTCAACATTAAATTCAGCATGCACCTTAGTTTCTGTTCTAGTTGTTCCCACTGGAGCTGAGAAGGCTTAACATTGTAACCTAGCTAAAGCCTGTTGACCTCTACAAACAAGATTCCTCTCACTTTTATCTTGCCTGAGAAACTTGACTGATTAGGCATTGTTTAAAAGCACTTAGAGGATCAAGTAGCGTTGCTTATTTCTGTTCAAAAGACAGAAAGTGAGGAGCAAGTAGTACTAAGGTAGTCTCGTTGTTGTTTATTTGGTAGAAAAGAACTTGAGTCTACACTGTAACTGCTCTAACTCATAGCACAGTATATTTACTTAATATTTTAATGAAATGTTAAGATGCTGTTTTATGAGCCAGAGCTGAGAAATGCATTTATTTGAAAAACATGCTAGTCGGTATTCCTGTTGATTTTCAGTTAGAGTACTTAATGCTTTTATAATGAGTTTTTTACAAGATCAGGACTGACTAAACACTTATTAAACTTCCATGTTCAGTTAATGAATGTCTAACCATCTGCAGTGTATATTAGTGTTGAGGTGAACTCATTTTGCAATAAACGTTTTCTTGTCTTGTAGCATTTAATACGTAGCAGTGGGAAACTAATCCTTCTTGACAAGCTACTGATTCGTCTACGAGAACGTGGCAACAGAGTACTGATTTTCTCTCAGATGGTGAGGATGCTAGACATCCTAGCAGAGTATTTGAAGTATCGTCAGTTTCCCTTTCAGGTAAGAATTTTGCTGGTAGTAGCCAAGAAGCCTTGATCTTTACCGCTTTATCTCAAGAAAAGTGTCCTTTTTGTAGAAAGATTTATGAAAATTTAATTTTATGTACAGGAAAAGACTGGCAATTACTATATGCTGAATAGTATTTTGAAATGAAACTGATGAATTAGAAAGATGAAGTGTTACATTACTCTTATCCCCCCCCCCCCCTCATTTTTTTCAGAGAATTCAAGTTGCTCCAATTAGAATTTAGTAGGAGTTCCTTTTTAACTGTATTATTCAATTTCTTTAGAGACTTGATGGATCAATAAAAGGGGAATTGAGGAAACAAGCCCTGGATCATTTTAATGCAGAAGGATCAGAGGTACAGTATTAGTGGGTGGTTGTTGTTTGTTTTTTTTTTTTAATCTGCTCAGCTTCTACGAAATAGGAAACACAGAATTTATGAAAATGGTGTTTAACTAATATAACTATATAGTTATATTTTTAGATTTTTGTCAGTGCTCTTTATCAAAGTAATTTTAAATACTGTATAAAAACTGAAGAATTTATTTTGTTGTGTAGGACTTAATCCTTCAATTTTTACAGGAGCACTGAACTTTTACACAAGCTTTTGACACTGAAAACCTACTTAGGCAATGGGCAGAATTGAGTTGTGTATATCCTTTCATGAAGAAAAACTATCTTTAATAGCTTTAAATCTAGCTTCTGTTATCTTCATTTTTTGTCTCTTATTTCCTTGCCCTGGAAGAAACTGAAGAACTGATTTCTAGCCATTGTTTGTGTACCACTTAAGATTGCTAGTTAATTTAGGTTTCCTACTATGGAAGCCATTCCATACTTTTGATAATCTTAGGTCTTTTGTCCTACACTGACAGGGTTTTTCAGTAATAGAAGCATAGCATTTGTCAGTTGCTGCTGAGCTTATGTTTCTGCTATGGTTT